TTTAATCTTGTATGCCCTAATTTTTATTTGCTCTCCCTTATGTCTCGTATTTGGTTTCAACCATACCAATATAATTATAATATTGACAATTATAATTAATCTTAACTATATTATCTTGCATTTGTAAACTTAGAATTACCTATTTAAATACGCAAATTCAACATTCAATTATCTATATATGCATGAACAATTCCAATATAATCTTGCTTTAATATACTTTAAAGTACTTAGTTAAAAAAAAAATATTGGACATTATTCCAGCAGTTAGCATTCCTAATAATCTATCTATCTATCTACTATACTAAAAAGAAATTTTGTTGGATTACGAACTATTGCTGGTTGTATGCTGATTTATAGAAGAAGTATGCAGCATTTAGAGTTCTAAAAAGGCTACAACATTAATGACGAAAAATAATGATGTTTCACCGAATAGTGAAACGTCAAAAGCCAAGATAAGGCTGCATCAGATTTAAATTTCATTAGGATTTAATTAGAATTAGAAATTAATTTGTAATTATATTCGAATTTTAAATTTCTATATTTAATGTCATGTAGTTTAGATCACAGCACGACACACATAGTGGAACAATTTCCAATGAGCAACAAATACAACCTACAACTTGAAGATAAAAGCAAAAAATTTTATATCATCTATGTTTGGGGAATCGAAAAGGTACATTAATATCACTTAACCTCAATTAAGCTAGAGATTAACCTTAAAATAAAAACTGAAACTTCACAACAAAAGACTCCAAAACGACGTCACTTTGGCTGAGAGGGAAAATACTGCCATTTGATTGGTCATAGCTATATAGCTTTACTATATAGATAGAAGGATAAGAACCAATAAAATTTGGTCTATAATGGATAAAAAAATGTCCGTCAAATTATTAAATGAAATAAATGGTTCAGATTATTCAGATTTTAATTACTGAGAATAAATTGAAAATTTAAATTTCAGTGTTTGGTTTATATGAATAGAATTACTGGGAATTTCAATTCCCATGTTTGGTATACATGAGAATTGAAAGGGAAGAAGTAGTATAAAGTCCAAAATGGTCATTGTTGTTGTCAGACATCAATTTTAGGTTAAAAAAAGGGATGTGTAATTTTTTCTCATCATTATTTTTTTTTTCTTCCTAAAATCCATGGAATTAAAATCCAATGGGGGTGGGTCAGGGGGAATGAGATTTTAATTTCATGAAAATGAAGGAATTGTAATTTTGTGCAATTGCAATTCCATCCAACCAAACTAAGGAATTTAGTGACCTTTGAAATTAAGTGGAATGAAATTTAAATTCATTCCAACCAAACACCCTGTAATATTTTGTGAAAACTAAACTTATTTATGAATCTGGTACCTAATTAAAAAAACCCAATGGATTAATGGTGAATTCCTCATATTGAATAGTGTTAAGTATGGAAAGTATTGAATATAATATATTACTTCGTATAAGTCTGAACAAAATAATACTTCTAGAGACTTATAATACTTGTAACTAAGAAGTCGTGAACACACAATATTCAGCCAGTTACAACCTAAGGTGCCAATTGAGATAGATCCCAATTGACTTTGCTAAAATTTCAACATTGAGATCAATTGAATTACTAGGTTGTTTTCTTTCTGTTGTGAAATCAACCAATAAAATTTAGAACAAACAACGTGAGTATGAAGACTACAATATGATTGCTATTGAAAAATATACATTACTTGTATGTCGCATTTTCTCTTCCTCAATTACATTATTTTCAACATGTGCTAAGCAAATTTAAATTCAATGATTCATGACATGATTGAGGATCATAGAAAAGGGTGAGAGAAGAAGAATCATAAGATAACTGTTAAAAATATTTATGGGTCCACTAAAGACTACACTAATAAATAAGTACTATCTCAAGGTAACTTTATAAATTTTTATTTTTTTATTTTTCAATTTGTAACAAGTTTGAAGTTAGTAAATTTAGTTTTCACTTTTCAATTAATAACTTGGGATTCCATTAATTAAAAGAATTCAATAATACTCACGGAGTTGAATCCCTAGCCAATTGTTTGATGGACTCCTCCAACTTTGATAATCATGAAATAAATTTATCATATTTCTTTTACTTTAGTAATTGGAAACAAATTTATCAAATTTCTAATATTGTATCTTAATATATATGTACTCGGAATCGATACATCTTACTTTTCAATTCTTATACAATATTTGTTCCTTTGAAACAAAATCACGTTACAACTACACAAGTACATTATATTCCTAAATGATTATAGAAAACCAATTGTCTGATTGGCAGAGAGATACTATTGCAACTGTCTTCTACACACTTGAACTATTCTCACATGTTTTGCACTGTTAATGTAAGTTGTTGATTGGTAGTTTCTTACATATCACATAAATCTTGTCTGGGAGATTATGATATAATTCACTTATGAGAACAATTGAGATTGAACTCTTGTAAATTTTGAAAATCAAAACTTCCAAATCTAGAAGATAATACTGCACTGATATTCTCAGTTCGCGGGATGAAACTAATTCAGTTGAAACTTACTCAAATCAATATTCTTCTGTCTCCATTGATTGGTGAAAAAAAAAAAAAAAAAAAAAAAAAACACTATGCCCTGGCCTACATTTGAATTATTGCACCAAGTAGTGGAAACTTTAGAGCTGGAAAGCTAAAGGTTAAAAAAGCTGTCGGCAATGAATTATTGCACTCAGATCAGTGGCATTACCCAATTCCACCCATCTTGCTTTGCTTCGATCTGCTAATCTGCACTCAAACAAACTGAGAAAAACTACTCTCATTTCATTTACATTACACCTATACTAACAGAGAGAGAAAAGAATGGCTTGTGTAGCTGTAAATTCTCTTATCACAACATTAGAGATTGAGTTCTTGCAACCTCACCCTCGTCCATTCCTACAAGAAATGGAACTCATCCCTTTTAACAAAGACCTCATCCAATCTCTCCATGCAAAGCTTGGCTTTTTGATACAACTGTTCGACAAGAGCAGAATGGATGGTGTTGAAGCAATTAAAGAGTTGGAAACAAAGCTCGGAGAAGTAGCTTTCAGAGTAGAAGATGAAATTGAACTCCATGTGATACATCTCTATAAAGAAGCTGACGAGGAAATGGGACAACGGGACACTGAAGCCAAAAAAACCCAGCATTGTCATAGACTTAGTCATGTATTGCAACAAGCAATAGAAGACATTGATGCCATTAAAGAAGAGCTGGAGAAACTCATGATGGAGTACAAGCTTGTCACAGCTGGGCAACGAAGGGAGACTACACTTGATGATGATGATGGTTCTGGTTCCTCCAATCATGCTTCACAGACTAAGGACACAATGGTCGGGAAAAACAATGAGTTCGACACTATAATGGAGATGCTAATACAACATCCATCTAAACAACGAGAAGTTGTCTCAATTCAAGGTATGGGAGGAATCGGCAAGACAACATTAGCTAGACGAGTTTATGAAGATCCATCTATTGTCTCCCACTTTGACAGAAGACTATGGGTTGTTGTATCACAACATCACAATAAGAGGCAAATGCTCTTAGGTCTTCTTGGTTGTAAAGACAATGTAAACAACAGTAGTGATGAGGACCTAGCATTACAGCTCTACCAAAGTTTGAAGCGTCAAAGGTACTTGGTAGTGATGGATGATGTATGGAGCATAGAGTCATGGGATGATGTTAAATCTTGCTTTCCAAATGATACAAATGGGAGTCGAGTATTGTTGACTACTCGGGTTGCAGAGTTGGCTATTCGTATTGGCTCTAACAATTACTTCTCCCATCAAATGCAGTTCTTAGATCAAAGTAAAAGTTGGGAATTATTTCATAAAAAGGCATGCAAATATCATGGTGTTGAATTTGAGACAATTGGGAAACCAGTTGTTGAGAAATGTAAAGGACTACCGTTGGCAATTGTTGTGGTAGCAGGTTTATTTTCAAAACTCAACACACTAGATGAGTGGGAAAATACTGCTAATGTTCTAATAAGTTCTTCAACATCAACTCTAGATGATGAAGAATGTTGGAGGATGCTCTCATTGAGTTATAGTCACTTGTCTCATAACTTGAAAGCTTGTTTTTTATATTTAGGAGTTTTTCCAGAAGATTATGAGATAAATGCTAACAATCTTGGAAGGTTATGGGCTGCAGAAGGACTTGTGAAGGCATTCAAGAACGAGAGTTTTGAAGCTGTGGCTAAAAGGTACATAAATGAACTTATGGATAGAAACTTAATTCTTGTAAGCAAAAGAAGTAGTTGTGGAAGAAAAATTAAGGAGTTTAGAGTACATGATTTATTGCATGCCTTTTGTGTGAAGCAGAGTCTTTTGCATGTTGCAGATGAAAGTGGTTGCAATTTCCCTCATAAAGGTGTTCGTTGGATAAGAATGGAAAGGGTGTCATTTGAAGATTTTGACATCTCTGTGTTACATTCTCTGTCAAAACATTGCCGGTCCATCTTTTCTTTTTCGGATTGTTCAATAATTTTGGAATTTTTCAGCCTATTGAGGGTACTCGGTGTTACTGAATTCCGTTCGCCAAGTCCGACTGTTCATATCCTTTTGAGATACCTATTGATATCCGAGCAATGTGATCCTTGTCTTTCATTATTCTCCAATGCTTGGAATCTTCAGACATATATTGAGTATACAGGTATAGGATTGGAGCTTTTGAAGTTTCCACAACTACAGTATATTCGCTGTCGGGATTTTTGTGGAGCTTTTCCCCAATCTGTTCATCAAAACTTGCAGGGCATTTATGGATTGAAGGCTAGTCATTGCGACCAAGAGTCCTTAACAAAAGTTCCATTCCTAAAGAAGGTAACTATTATTAGTGGCGAAACCGATGTTTGCACTAAGAACCTTGTCTGTTTACAGCAGCTCGAGAGTTTGGCTCTTTGTGATGATGTATGGAGCTATGGAATTCCAGTTGTTAATGTTTTGATCATTAACAATATTCTTCTCTTGAAAAACATTAGGAAGCTGAGGTTTGATTTTATGAATTCTGAGTGGAAGGTAATTAATCTTTTGAGCAAGTTACCAAGGCTTGAAGTGCTCAAGTTAATGAGTGCTGACTTTGGCAAAAAGTGGGAAGTACCAGAGAATGTGAAATTCTGCCACTTAATTTGTTTGAAAATTTGGTATTGTCATCTCAAACATTGGAATGTTGGTGCTGATAATTTTCCAAAACTTGAGCGCCTATTCCTTAACGGATGCCTTGAATTGAGAGAGATCCCGAATAGCTTTGCAGAAATTCCAACATTGAACTTAATCCAATTAGAGGGGTGTCTTCCTTCTGCAGTAATGTCTGCCAAGCAAATTGAGGCTGAACAGCATGACTCTGGAAACGAGTATATGGTTGTCATTGAGATAGACACAATAAAGGTCTCTCCATCAATCTCCACTTCTTTTTCTCAATTGCTTTTTATTTCACTCTCCTTTAATTTTTCTCCCAACTTCATTTAGTTTCATCACATCCTAGCTAATTTGTTTTCATTCATTCATGACAGCCTGCTCTCTATTTTGAAGATGACTCCGATGAAGATGATGCAAAGCTATAGCAAAGAAAGACTAATTAATTGCAATACTGATGATGGGATGGGTCCACATAGAGCCAAAATCCAATAAAAGAAGGGTGTGGGAAGATCAGAGCAGATGGTTGTTAGTTGTGGCTGTTTTTGGTGTTTGAAATGGTTTCTGGTTCACATACAGGTTCTTACAGGGTATAGATTACTATATTATTACTGTCTTGTATCTGCTTCTAGGAATGAACAATATAATCTGCTGGATTTAAGGCTTGCTACTTGCTAGATGGATTTAAGAATTGTAAAAATACTTTACAGGCTATTTGGTTGAATGTAATTTCATTGTAATTGAATTGAAATTCATTGAAGCTCTGAATTATAATGTTTGGTTGGAAGGAATTGCAATTCCTCATTTTGTTGAATTGCAATTCATACCCTCCCCATATGAATTGCAATTCAATGGGAAGAGAAAAGGGCAAAAGGGAGGAAAAATAATTTTTTTGCCCTTAATAATTATTAGTATTATTATTACACAAGGACATTTTAGTATTTATACTACTTCCATTCTCATTCCCAATAATTCTATTCCTCCCTACCAAATCAAACAATGTAATTTGAATTCCTACTTTATTCTCACATTATTCATTTCCCACCGAATTACAATTCTTTTCTCCCCCTAATTCCTCCTTCCATTTAGTGTTTCTATAATGAAAGTAGTGTGTAGAAAATGAAATTAAAAGCATAGCTCATATAATAATGTATATTGTCAAATGAAACTGTAATAGAATTAATATGCTACTTTAATATTGCTATAATGAAACTTTCTAGTATGTGTGAAAAATAAAATTAAAAAAAACCCCATACAATAGTATATATTGTCCATTGAACATGAAGTATAATTAAAATGATATTTTAGTGTTACTATAATTAAACTAGTGTTCATCAAAATGTAATTAAAAAACAGAGCTCACCCTTTGGGCAATTTATATCGTGCACCAGGCGCGCATTGCATTGTGCGCCCTGATGCAAAACGACGTCGTTTCAGATTTTTTTTGTTTTTTGAAATTTCTCTACACTGTGTTGGTGGTTAATTTTCTTTAAAAAAAAAATCTCATGTTCAAAAATGTACATAATTTTATATTAGAATACACATAATTATATTGTATACATGAATGTACATAATTGTATAAACAAATACACATAATCACGTCAACTCCTTACATAACTTACCAAAATGACGTCGTTTTGGGAGGCGCGGGACACACAGTGCTATGTGCACCGTGGTGCAGGGTATAACGCAAATTATGCCGTGGAAACGTGTTCACCATACTTTGTGTAAACGTTCCAAAACAGTGTCGTTTTTACGGAAAAAAAAAAACTAGTTAATGTGCTGTTAACGGCGTTTTGCATTCTATGTTCAGATTGTGAATTTACATTTATTAAATTATGAATTTTCTGTTATGAGATTATGAATTTTCTTTTATGAGATTATGAATTTACAGTTACGTAATTATGAATTTTCTGTAAATTCATAATCTTATAACAGAAAATTCATAATTTCATAAAAGAAAATTCATAATTTCATAACTGCACATTCATAAATCCATGCCTGCACATTCATAATTTATGAGTGTTGAAGAAGCTTGCGCAAAGAGGAAGTGAAACCGCGAAATGTGAAAATGAAGAAGAAAAGTCGCGCTGTTAATTAAAAAAAATGGTAGAAGATAACGGTGCCACTTACGGGCACCATTACCGTTAGGGACCGTGTTCACCATGGATGGTGAACACGGTTCCATGGCATAACGATTGAGGGTATAACGATTGCACCCTTTGGGCCAGCTCCCATGCCTCCCTAAGCGAACATGGATTAGTCGGGTGGACCTGGACCACGACAATCGTTATACCCTACACCACGGCGCACATAGCACTGTGCACCGCGCGCCTCCCAAAACGACGTCGTTTTGGGGTCGTTTTGGGAGGCGCGGTAGGAAGTTGCTGGGATTATGTGTATTTGTTCACACAGTTATGTGTACTTGTTCATACAATTATGTGTATTGGTTCATACAGTTATGTACATTTTTTATACAATTATGTACATTCTTTTTATACAATTATGTACATCCGAATCAGAAAATTTGTGTGTATTATGTTAATAGTTGATGTGTATTATGTTAAAAGTTTATGTTTATTATGTATTATGTTAGATTATGTGTATTATCTTTTAAAAAGAGTATGTATATTTTGTTATATAATTATGTACATTCATGTATACAATTATGTGTATTCTAGTATAACATTATGTACATTCTTGAACAGCGGTTTTTTTTTTTTTTTTAAAGAAAAAACTACTGCCATTCACTGGGGCAAGAAATTTCAAAAAAAATAAAAATTAAAAAGACGTCGTTTTGCATCTGGGCGCATAGTGCAACGCGCGCTGTGGTGTAGGATATAAATTGCCCACCTCGTGGTTTATACCAAAAAAAAAAAATAAAAATAGAGCTCATAGAATAATGTATATTGTCAAATGAAATTGTAGTAGAATTTAAATAATAATTTAGTGCTACTAATGAAACTAGTGTATTGTTGAAAATGAAAATAAAAAAATAGAGCAATATTATCAAATCAAATTGAAGTATAATTAAAATGTTACGGTGTCGTTTTAGATCATGGTTCACGCTGCAACATGGACTACAAGTGAGTGTTTCGAGATTTGGTTCAATTTTTTTTAGTATCGATATTTCAGTATTAAAAAATGATACCATTCGATTTAACATTATAGTTCAGTTAGGTTTTGGATTTTGGTTTATTTTAAATTATATGATTCATGACAGAGTTGAGGATTTGAGAAAAGTCTAAGCAAAGAATAAGCTAAAGTAGATGATCATTAACAATATGAGAAAATTTTTAATTTTGGTCCACTGACTATTGGAGTTGTGTTAATTGCAACACTTGACTTTAAAAAATGTTAATTTAGTATCTTGACTATGCAATTTTTATCAATTTTGGTCACGCCGGCCAAATCTGACCAAAAAAATTTAATAGGTCAAATAATGAGGGTATTTTAATCATTTTACTCATTTTCTTTCTTCTCCGATGATCTACTCTCTATTTCCGGCGACGAACAAACGGAGAATACCTGCCTCACGCAACTTCCGTTCGAGCTCACCGACAACCTGCGATTCTTTTTACATGATAGTCACTAAAAATATTCAAAATACAAAAATAGCGTAGCCTTTCATGGTGGAATTGAAGCAGATTTCTTAACATTCATATGATTTCAAATCCAACTACTGCAATAAGTCGAGATGTGAAGATGGAGTATTCCAACATTCAAGTTGAACGAACTGAAAACACGATAGAAAAAAGAGAAGAGAAGACAACAATAGGCATGATTTGAGTTATTATACTTGAAAACTCACTCTAATCATAATTCAGAAGCATCCAAAACCCTACCAATCTCAAAGGAGACGAAAGCATCAATGCACGCATACTGAATCTGCTCTTCAATGAGCCAGCTTTGATCCCACCTACTCCACCTTACCCTTCTCGGCTTACTCATCTCCGCTCCAAGGTAAATCATAGCCAAATCCTTCAAACCGACGTTTCTCATAGACCTATTGTTGGACTCATTCGCAGCTAGGTAACACAAATCCATGGCGTTATTCACCTCCAGACTGTAGTCTTCCACGAGCTTCTGAATGTCGTTGTGGATTCCAACGCCGACGAAGGTGTAGTCGCCGGAAATGGGGAGTAGATCATCGGAGAAAAAATGAATGAGTAAAATGACTAAAATACCCTCATTATTTGACCTATTAAATTTTTTCGGTGAGATTTGGTCAGCAATTTGGCCGGCGTGACCAAAATTGATAGAAATTGCATAGTCAAGGTACTAAATTAACATTTTTGAAAGTCAAGTGTTGCAATTAACACAATTCCAATAGTCAGTGGACCAAAATTGAAATTTTCTCTTAACAATATTTATGGTTCCAAAAAGAGCCAAACACTAAGGGGCGTTTGGTTCATGTAATCTTCAATTACCTAGTTAATCTAAGTCTAGTAATGTTATACTCTCTACGTTTTATTTTACCCATCTTACTTTCCTTTTTAATCCGCCCAAAAAATTGTTCACTTTCCTAAACTAATCACTACTAACTCTATGTTTTTTTCCCAAAGTATCCTTGTGGCTTTCAAAACTATCTGTATACTTTTTGATTTTCTTGAAAAATGTGTACCTTTCTAGACTTTTCCAAATCTTTACTCTTTCAAACAATTATCTCTTTCATCTAAAAAATTCTGCAAGCCATTTCAACTTTCTCAAGCCTTTTCTTTTTCAAACGCAAATCTCTTTCCTATCATCTCATTCCTCTCATCTAAAAAATGAGTTTCAATGTTACAAAGCCGCCACCTACATATGTTCTCGCTGGAATTTTAATACTCCCAAAAGTGATGACCCTCGACGCGGTCCACATTTGCAGATTAATGGCATCAATCTTTCAAATCGGCAAACATCACTATCTATGTTTTTCTATATGTTTTTATATATAGTTGAATGCAGATCAGATGATTTTTACAAGTATTAAGTTCATTTTTTTTTTTTTGTATAATTACTGGGTGTATAGAGAAGAATAGAAAACAAAGAAATTATGGAGTATTTGTTGAATAAAGATGAAGAAATATTTGCAAATGAGATGAAGAAGTGTACGGTGTAGCAAAGTACTCAAAAGAAATTAAGGATGAGATAGTGAATTCAGCATTCAGTTGCAAAAGGATAGAGATTACAATACTAATGCTAAACACTTCTACGTAAAGTATTCCTACATAATAGGATAGCCATAGAATACTAACCTATTTACAACAATATTATAAGATATAATAATACAGACTAATAACATTACTAACACACCCCATCAAGCACAAGGGGGGTGTGCTACCACATTGAGCTTATCACGTAGAGTCGCAAACCTCGGTCCCGGCAATAGCTTGGTGAAGTTGTCTACCAGCTAATCTGTAACACTCCCCAAAAACAAGGCCCAATTGAAGCCCTAACACAAGCAGATTAACAACAAAACTAGCACAACGGAAGATAAACGGAAACTGGATAAAAGAAATCCAAGAAGGGGTGTTATGCCACGTATACCACACTAGGTAACGCTAAGGCAACAATCTGCAAGTGTATAATACTATCCCAATACATCAATCTAAAACAGTCTAAAAACATTGGCGCACAGGCCACAAAAACACAAAGGTGCTAAGCTACCAAGCTCTAGACACCGCTCTCGTCTAAACATCACCTGAAAGATAC